AATAACTCCCTTACGCAAAGAAAGCCACGGGGAGGGTGTGGGGTTCTGTTATTATTACATATGTTCCATACTTGATTATTTCGTATTAAAGAAAGAACGTGCAAACCGGGATATCGATGGAATTTAGGTCGGGGAACCCCATTGCCCATTAATATGTTCCAATATAAGTGTTACGCCCTAGCAGCGCGTGTCAGTGTAGAACGCGCCCGGAGAACGCGTGTCACTGTTTGTTTGAAATTAAAATCAGACGTCTAATCTGAGTCACTGTCCGAATAAATAACTCGTTGACGTTTAGTTGGGACCACGGCAGAACCAGAACTTGAACTGGACGACTATGATACACAGTTTATGTTGAAGTTAAAAGTTCTGCCACATAATTGTGCATTGGCAAACATGCCGTGCAACTGCGGTACTCCACTGACGGGATGACTTTCGTCGACAGCGGTTGTCGCTGAGATGCACGCTACAACTTCGTGTGTGATGTTGCTTGCTGGTCGTGGATTGACTGAGTCTTGATTACCGGTTAAAATGCTGCTCTTTTGGTGTTGGTATTTTTTATTTGGAACTGAGTAACGCCACAACGTCGCCAGCAGAAACCTGGTATCTCGATGCTGATGGTTGCGGCTGGATAGTAATCGATGATTTTACTGCTGGTGGATCTTCTAAAAATAGTTCGGTAGCCAATGAAAATACCATGTTCATTTGCATATCGACCGTGAAAATACCGAAAACATTATTGCATGGGTGATATGCAAATTAGTTTGGGCCAAAATAAGTGACTGTCTGAAAGTACCATTACTGTTGTTCAAATTTCATTTCACTCGGCAAGTATATTCATGTACCCCAGGGGGAAAATATCATACTTCTAAATATTGTTTATTTCGAAAAACTGTACTCCTGAAGGGACTACTTTGTTTGCTCGCAGACCTCATTTGCATATGGGTTGTGGAAATACCGATTTTGATTTCAGGGACGAATCAAAATAAACTGCAGTACATATGTAATAATATGAGGTTATTAGGAGGATACCTCAAAGTATGCTCAAAGACAAGAGTATCTGGTAGTTGATGACAGTAACTTGTGGCATTACGGTGACAGATGAATAATTATGTTACAATTACATTACATAGTACGTGATCATCACATTCTGTGTGGGTGACATTAACATAACGATATGTACCATCATTCTTGCTTGACTGCATTCTGTTTTACATCACAAGGTTAAATGAAAAATGTATGTTAGAATTGAAAAGTGCCTGCATTTATCATGTAAGTTAAAGTTACAAATGTACTGATACAAATGTACATACATGTACCTCCGTGAATAATACTATAAATACCAGTAAGTCATATAAACAGAAACATGGATTCTCTTTTCTTAGTAACAAATGTAGTTAAATTTCAAGATGAATTACCGGTAGTAAAAATTACATAATGATGTGTATAAGAATTGTTGCTATCAACACTTAAACAATTCCTAGAGAAACATAGTTTAACATTCTTTCAGAGTTTATAGAAGCTTGCTTTCTTCTAAATTTTAGAGACAATTCTTGTATAAAATTTATTTTCATAGATTTCGGTGGATGTTGATCAGAATAGGGTATGCCAGTTTAGTTTCATTCGCCGTAACTTTGGTCCACATATTTTTGGTTCAGTATTGTAGGCTGTTTGCCTTATATACAATATCAGCTTCACAAAAACAAAAGAAGGATCCACATATGTGCTTGTATTTGACCTGCTGGTTATAGCGCATTATTATATTGCCAGTATGATTGAAAGATAAACCCCACACCCTGTCCTAAACATGAAATACTGTTTCTGTAACAAAATAGTCTAAATATGTACCATCTGCACTTGTACATATTCAATTTACATATAAACAACAAATAGAGGCCAAAGTCTTGCCTGACACAAACACATTAAAAAAAAAAACTGAAACTGTTTCAGTAATCTACTGCCTGATGTTTTACAAATTCAGAACACATTATTGGTGTCAGCACATTTGTTGCAGAGTGCAGCTGTGACAGAATCAGGCTTCCAGAGACTCTGTTTAATACTTTGCTGTGTATTTTCTGACATGCGCTTTTCAAGTTGTCTTATTGTCTTAAACTGAACACAATACATGCAGTAACTATTTCAGATCATGACATACGCTTTGTTGAGAACTTTACTTACCATGGTTATAGTTTGACTACTAGAAATGGTCAGTAATTCTACATAAGATCTAATATCCAAATGCAGTAATAATGTGAAATGTATTTTATTCAAAGCAGATTGTTTGGTTATCCAAGGGACTGTATAGCTAGTACTTTGTTTGTTACAAACTGTTTTAACTGTATTTATCAAAATCTTTCTAAATTAAATTGTCTTCTTCTGTAATAATTTATGTTGTGTGATGGTTGTCAGTAATTTTCCATCACTTGAATAAGCTGCTGTGCTCATTATTACATTTGTTAGTCCCTGTTCAGACGCAGTCTGAAAACGGGGACTTATGGTTTGACCTCTGTGTGTCTGTGCATCCTTATGTGTGTTCGGACCTATATCTTAGACATGCCTGGACTGATTACATTCAAACTTCACACATACATCATACATAATATTATACATATGCACATCAATTTGTTTCACTATCTGATTCAAGATGGCTGAATGGCGGCCATTTTTGTGCTGAAAAATCATTGATATCAAGCATTTATGGATGGATTTTGTTCAAACTTGGTGCATATGTTAGACATTATAGGACCTTCATGCACGGTATTTTGTTTTTCAGATCAGACTTTCTCATTAAAATTTTTCTGAACTTTTTTTGTATATTCTTCAATATTTCTGGAAATGAACCCTACATGTAATTCTGGAACCAACAGACAAAATTTGAGTCAATTTTCAGTTTTAATTAAAAAAATGTGGCTATTTTTGTCCCAATCGTCTGAAGGAAAGTGCAGACTATAAACAAGACTATTTTTTAAATTATGAATTATATTTATTGAGGCATGCTGGCATAATTTGAAATTATTATATTTTCGTTCTACCCATGCTATGTACATATTTGGTATGAAATGCATATGATTTGTAGTGGTTATGGGATTACTGGATCCCTGATGTGTTGTAAATTCAGTACAAATGTACAGATGTTTAGGTATTTTAGATCATGCGTATATATCATGTGCAAGGCATCCAATGTGACCAAAAAAAACCCAAGATGAGATGTCACCCTGGTAAAGCATACTTGGGAGCCTTGGACATGTTTTTAATTAAACACTTGAGTCAGCTTACGAAAGTATAGAAATACATGAAAAATGTCACTGTACAATGGTTTGAATAAAATGAAAAATACAATATTTAGTCTTGAGTGATTTGGTCAGTGTGTATATGTCATACCGTACTTTCCCCTCCAGTTTTCTTTTGTTCACCCATTTTTCCTTACCTATTTGCAATGTAACATTCTACGCATAAAGTTTATCAAGGGTCTTATAGTTTGCCTTGAACATGTTACTGTGCATGTAGAAGAAGAAATCTACATAAATTTGGTTGTCCAATTTGATGGGTTATTATAACCATGTGAGTACCGGTAGCTCCCTTCCATGTTTGCCATGGACTGAGTGTTGTCCATAAATTCAACACCATATTGATAGATGCTGAACTTGATTCAAAATGATGCTTTTCACCACCAGACTTTCTTTTCCAAATTTACAAGTCACTTAATGTTAATTCTTATGATGCCTCATCCAGTACATTGCTTTGTGGAATTCATTAAAATATTAGTGATATGAATTTCTGTTATCTGAACATGCAGCTGTCAGTCTTACCCTATTTCTCATTATTCAAATCTATAGGTGTGTGCAACATTGTGACATCATGAGGGAGACAAATTGAGCTAATTCTGCAGTTTCTGTAAAATTCCCTACATCTTTCAATAATGGCTGACAAGTACGAGCCATTAGAGACATCAGAAAGTCTGGTTAAGAAAGAAGGATCCAAACGAAATGTAGAATGGAGTAAATATGGTCTGAGTGACGATGTCTGTCAACCAGGTAGTGATGGAAGTTACCAGCAAAGTTCACCTCAAGTACAGGAATTATTTGATGAACAGCAGGTAAGCAGAACAAAATGTCACCTGTCACTGGATTCCATATAACTAATAATTCAAACTTTCTTATAAATCTCATTTCAGAACTTTTGGCTTAATAGTTTTAAATTGTTGTATTGTTCATATTATCGTATAGGTGGTTAATTTTTTTTAATGAAGTTGAATAATGGCTGGTCTCATATCTTGGGATCTCTAAAATATTTTGTTATTTTAGTGGCAATTTATGTCGGTTGGGTTATGCAACTGGCCTCTTACTGGATTGTTCAAAAATTATTTTAAAGTAGTAACATTTTTAATTGAGAAAAGAAGAAATAGAAAACATTAAGATTTATACATATTAATGTAATTTTCCCTAATTCAACCTCTAATGTTGTGTAACATTTTGAAAAAATCTAAATTTATTACATTCACTAATGACAGAGAGCATAGCAATATCCATATTTTATGACATGCAAGGAATTGAAACATCTGTTATGTATTTAGTATGCACTCATGGGCAGACATTTTCCCCTAAATCAGGAAACTGATGTATTTAAATGGAAAAGGAAAATTACACAACAAATCTGTATTTGTTACTGTTAGCTATTATATCATCAATATTTCAAGATTTTAAGAGAATTTACATGTAG